CAGTCGGGCCCCCGCTGGCACCCGCCTTGGCTGGCCTGGGGCCTGTCGGCTGGGGGCAGCTCCTGCATTGAGCATCTGCCCCCCTGGTGGTCAGTGTGCCTCATAGCAACCGGTCGATCTGCATATTAGGCTTTTATTATATAGGATATTTGTATCGATTTCAGAGAGGAAGGGAGAAGGGGAGAGAGAAGGGAACATCCATGATGAGGGAGAATCATGGATCGGCTGCTTCCTGTACACCCTCCTGGGGCCTCCTTGCTCAGCGTGCAGGCGGCCCCCCTCCTGCCGCCCCTGCTCCCTCGTTCCTGGTGCTGCTTCCTCCTCTTACGAGGACACTGGTCAGATTGCTTACGGCCCGACCACGTGACTCCGTTTCACTTTTCCTCACCTCTTCTAGGGCCCTACCTCCACATGCAGTCACACTGGGGCGTCCTGGGGTTAGCACTGCCCCCTTCGAATCTGGGGACACCGCATAGTCCATAGCCCCCTTCTCCAGCTGAGGGGGCTCCCACAGGAGGCTGTAGGGACAGGAAAGGACCCCCAAGTCACGTCCCAGGTGAGTGAACAGTTCCTGTCTCCTCGCTGAAGTGCACCCTTGCTTTTTGGACTGCGTACTGTTTAATATTTTTATTTTTTTAATTGTTGAGGTCATTTCTTCATTTTATTTTTCAGTGACAGTTGATGTACTCTATCATATTACTTTCAAGTATACAGTACAGTGACTAGGCATTTATATAATTTACAAAGTGACCCCCCCACACACACACACACCATACATAGTTGTTGCAATATTATTTACTGTGTTCTCCATGCTGTACTTTATTTTTTTCTTCTTTTTTAAATTTATTTTATTATGTTTGTTTTTCAACATTTTTTTTCTTTTTAATCTATGCAAAGCTCTTAGAAAATTGCCTACCCTTCAGTAAGCCCCATATCTGTATAAATATTAACTATCATTTTTACATAAGTGCCAGGTATTCAGGGAGGCAATGATGCCTGTTTCTCTTTTTATATATTTCTTTATTGATTTCAGAGAGGAAGGGAGAGAGGGAGAGAAAGATAGAAACAACAATGATGAGGGAGAATCATTGACCGGCTGCCTCCTGCACGCCCCACACTGGGGATCAAGTCCACAACCAGGGCAAGTGCGCTGATAGGGAATCCAGCTGGTAATCTCCTGGTTCATAGGTCCATACTCAACCACTGAGCCACACCTGCTGGGCAATGCCTGTTTCTTAATGAGGCTTTCAATGGCGATAGAGAAATATACTAAATAATTATAATCAGATATGATAAGTATAAAGCACAAAGTATAGTGGGAAACAAAAAGAACATAGAACCCAGGAGGTCCTTAAGAATCCATAGCCATGGGTGGGAAGTGGAGAAGATCCTCCAGATGGCAGGCGGCTCTGCAGCACCCCCCACTCCCCCCAGCCTGCCAGCTAACAGAGAATAGGAGGACGCGTTACATAGGTCACCTCAACATTTTTTTTTTTTATCCTCACCTGAGGGTATTTTCCATTTATTTTTTTTTCACATATATTTCATTGATTTTTTACAGAGAGGAAGGGAGAGGGATAGAGAGTTAGAAACATCAGTGAGAGAGAAACATCGATCAGCTGCCTCCTGCACACCCCCCACTGGGGATGAGCCCGCAACCACAGTTCATGCCCTTGAGCGGAATCGAACCTGGGACCCTTCAGTCTGCAGGTCGACGCTTTATCCACCAAGCCAAACCGGTCAGGGCCATCAGAATTGTTTCTCGCCTGTACCTCCTTTCACCCACACAGATGCGCCAGTCCCCCAGGGGCAGGGACTGTCTCCGTACGTCTCTCTTTTCTCTGGGGTTGATGACATTACACTAGATTTCCAGATCACCAGCTAGTATTCCTCGTGTGTATATTCTCTCACCGGGACCAAGAGAAGGCAATCCTTCGATCCCAGGTCTGGTTGTGAGGGCTCCATGGCAAAGCACCACAGGTCGGGGGCACCTACACATCAGCCGTTTCTTCTCTCACGGTTCCGGTGGCCACAAGTTCAAGGTTAAGGTGTCCGCCGGGTTGGTTCTCCTGGGGCCTCCTTGCTCAGCGTGCAGGCGGCCCCCCGCCCGCTGCTGCCTCTGCTCCCTCGTTCCTGGTGCTGCTTCCTCCTCTTACGAGGACACCGGTCAGATTGCTTACGGCCCGACCACGTGACTCCGTTTCACTTTTCCTCACCTCTTCTAGGGCCCTACCTCCACAGGCAGTCACACTGGGGCGTCCTGGGGTTAGCACTTCCACCTTCGAATCTGGGGGACACCGCGTAGTCCATAGCAGCCCCGTCATGAGGGGCCAAGCAGACATGTGGTCTGTCCTTCCAGAGCGCGGTGACGTTTGGGGACGTGGACGTCGCTTTCTCCCAGGAGGAGTGGGGCCGGCTGAGCTGCGCCCAGAAGGCCCTGTACAGAGACGTGATGCTGGAGAACTACCGGAACCTGGTGTCGCTGGGTACGGGCCCCCCCTCGCTCCCACCTCCCCCGTCCGCTGCGGGCCGCCCTCTCCAGCCCTCTCCTCTCAGACCCACAGCATGACCACCTCCCGTTTCTCTCTATTATTCAGGGCTCTGCCTCTCTAAGCCCGACGTGATCTCCTCCTTGGAACAGAGGACAGAGCCCTGCATGGCCAAGAACGGGCTGACAGGAGGCCGGTGCCCAGGTGAGCGTGGGAGACCCGGTGGGGGCCACTCACTGGAGGTCACAGGTCAGCCACCTCAGGCAGGCGGGGTCATCAGGAGGCTCCTGAGCTCGGGGCCTGGAGGGCAAGGAAGACCCCCTGGAATGGACGCCCCGCGCTTTGTCCGCAGGCCGATGCTCTATCCACTGAGCCATACCAGTCAGGGCAGCCCCCCCTTTTTTTTTAATTAAATACTAGAGGCTCAGTGCATGAAATTTGGGCACCAGTGGGGTCCCTCGCCTGGCCTGCGGAATCGGCCGAAATCAGCTCTCCGACATCCCCAATCTGTATAAATATTAACTATCATTTTTACATAAGTGCCAGGTATTCAGGGAGGCAATGATGCCTGTTTCTCTTTTTATATATTTCTTTATTGATTTCAGAGAGGAAGGGAGAGAGGGAGAGAAAGATAGAAACAACAATGATGAGGGAGAATCATTGACCGGCTGCCTCCTGCACGCCCCACACTGGGGATCAAGTCCACAACCAGGGCAAGTGCGCTGATAGGGAATCCAGCTGGTAATCTCCTGGTTCATAGGTCCATACTCAACCACTGAGCCACACCTGCTGGGCAATGCCTGTTTCTTAATGAGGCTTTCAATGGCGATAGAGAAATATACTAAATAATTATAATCAGATATGATAAGTATAAAGCACAAAGTATAGTGGGAAACAAAAAGAACATAGAACCCAGGAGGTCCTTAAGAATCCATAGCCATGGGTGGGAAGTGGAGAAGATCCTCCAGATGGCAGGCGGCTCTGCAGCACCCCCCACTCCCCCCAGCCTGCCAGCTAACAGAGAATAGGAGGACGCGTTACATAGGTCACCTCAACATTTTTTTTTTTTATCCTCACCTGAGGGTATTTTCCATTTATTTTTTTTTCACATATATTTCATTGATTTTTTACAGAGAGGAAGGGAGAGGGATAGAGAGTTAGAAACATCAGTGAGAGAGAAACATCGATCAGCTGCCTCCTGCACACCCCCCACTGGGGATGAGCCCGCAACCACAGTTCATGCCCTTGAGCGGAATCGAACCTGGGACCCTTCAGTCTGCAGGTCGACGCTTTATCCACCAAGCCAAACCGGTCAGGGCCATCAGAATTGTTTCTCGCCTGTACCTCCTTTCACCCACACAGATGCGCCAGTCCCCCAGGGGCAGGGACTGTCTCCGTACGTCTCTCTTTTCTCTGGGGTTGATGACATTACACTAGATTTCCAGATCACCAGCTAGTATTCCTCGTGTGTATATTCTCTCACCGGGACCAAGAGAAGGCAATCCTTCGATCCCAGGTCTGGTTGTGAGGGCTCCATGGCAAAGCACCACAGGTCGGGGGCACCTACACATCAGCCGTTTCTTCTCTCACGGTTCCGGTGGCCACAAGTTCAAGGTTAAGGTGTCCGCCGGGTTGGTTCTCCTGGGGCCTCCTTGCTCAGCGTGCAGGCGGCCCCCCGCCCGCTGCTGCCTCTGCTCCCTCGTTCCTGGTGCTGCTTCCTCCTCTTACGAGGACACCGGTCAGATTGCTTACGGCCCGACCACGTGACACTTTTCCACTTTTCCTCACCTCTTCTAGGGCCCTACCTCCACATGCAGTCACACTGGGGCGTCCTGGGGTTAGCACTCGAATCTGGGAATCTGGGGACACCGCATAGTCCATAGCCGCCCCGTCATGAGGGGCCAAGCAGACATGTGGTCTGTCCTTCCAGAGCGCGGTGACGTTTGGGGACGTGGACGTCGCTTTCTCCCAGGAGGAGTGGGGCCGGCTGAGCTGCGCCCAGAAGGCCCTGTACAGAGACGTGATGCTGGAGAACTACCGGAACCTGGTGTCGCTGGGTACGGGCCCCCCCTCGCTCCCACCTCCCCCGTCCGCTGCGGGCCGCCCTCTCCAGCCCTCTCCTCTCAGACCCACAGCATGACCACCTCCCGTTTCTCTCTATTATTCAGGGCTCTGCCTCTCTAAGCCCGACGTGATCTCCTCCTTGGAACAGAGGACAGAGCCCTGCATGGCCAAGAATGGGCTGACAGGAGGCCGGTGCCCAAGTGAGTGTGGGAGACCAGGTGGGGCCCACTCACTGGAGGTCACAGGTCAGCCACCTCAGGCAGGCGGGGTCATCAGGAGGCTCCTGAGCTCGGGGCCTGGAGGGCAAGGAAGACCCCCTGGAATGGACGCCCCGCGCTTTCATCTGCCCTCTCTGCTCTCCAGCTTCGCCCCCGTCCCTCTAACATACCCGCACTCCGCTGTTCCCGGCGTCTTCCCCAGCTCCCTTCCGCCCCTTGAAGGTCAGACTCACGTGGTCCTCTCGGGTCTTTAAAGCATGTTTGGCCGACACTGGTGTCATGTTCACTATCTTATTTCTCTTTGATGAAATGACTGGCTTATGGGCTCTTTCTGGTTCATAGGTCCATACTCAACCACTGAGCCACACCTGCTGGGCAATGCCTGTTTCTTAATGAGGCTTTCAATGGCGATAGAGAAATATACTAAATAATTATAATCAGATATGATAAGTATAAAGCACAAAGTATAGTGGGAAACAAAAAGAACATAGAACCCAGGAGGTCCTTAAGAATCCATAGCCATGGGTGGGAAGTGGAGAAGATCCTCCAGATGGCAGGCGGCTCTGCAGCACCCCCCACTCCCCCCAGCCTGCCAGCTAACAGAGAATAGGAGGACGCGTTACATAGGTCACCTCAACATTTTTTTTTTTTATCCTCACCTGAGGGTATTTTCCATTTATTTTGACCCTTCAGTCTGCAGGTCGACGCTTTATCCACCAAGCCAAACCGGTCAGGGCCATCAGAATTGTTTCTCGCCTGTACCTCCTTTCACCCACACAGATGCGCCAGTCCCCCAGGGGCAGGGACTGTCTCCGTACGTCTCTCTTTTCTCTGGGGTTGATGACATTACACTAGATTTCCAGATCACCAGCTAGTATTCCTCGTGTGTATATTCTCTCACCGGGACCAAGAGAAGGCAATCCTTCGATCCCAGGTCTGGTTGTGAGGGCTCCATGGCAAAGCACCACAGGTCGGGGGCACCTACACATCAGCCGTTTCTTCTCTCACGGTTCCGGTGGCCACAAGTTCAAGGTTAAGGTGTCCGCCGGGTTGGTTCTCCTGGGGCCTCCTTGCTCAGCGTGCAGGCGGCCCCCCGCCCGCTGCTGCCTCTGCTCCCTCGTTCCTGGTGCTGCTTCCTCCTCTTACGAGGACACCGGTCAGATTGCTTACGGCCCGACCACGTGACTCCGTTTCACTTTTCCTCACCTCTTCTAGGGCCCTACCTCCACAGGCAGTCACACTGGGGCGTCCTGGGGTTAGCACTTCCACCTTCGAATCTGGGGGACACCGCGTAGTCCATAGCAGCCCCGTCATGAGGGGCCAAGCAGACATGTGGTCTGTCCTTCCAGAGCGCGGTGACGTTTGGGGACGTGGACGTCGCTTTCTCCCAGGAGGAGTGGGGCCGGCTGAGCTGCGCCCAGAAGGCCCTGTACAGAGACGTGATGCTGGAGAACTACCGGAACCTGGTGTCGCTGGGTACGGGCCCCCCCTCGCTCCCACCTCCCCCGTCCGCTGCGGGCCGCCCTCTCCAGCCCTCTCCTCTCAGACCCACAGCATGACCACCTCCCGTTTCTCTCTATTATTCAGGGCTCTGCCTCTCTAAGCCCGACGTGATCTCCTCCTTGGAACAGAGGACAGAGCCCTGCATGGCCAAGAATGGGCTGACAGGAGGCCGGTGCCCAAGTGAGTGTGGGAGACCAGGTGGGGCCCACTCACTGGAGGTCACAGGTCAGCCACCTCAGGCAGGCGGGGTCATCAGGAGGCTCCTGAGCTCGGGGCCTGGAGGGCAAGGAAGACCCCCTGGAATGGACGCCCCGCGCTTTCATCTGCCCTCTCTGCTCTCCAGCTTCGCCCCCGTCCCTCTAACATACCCGCACTCCGCTGTTCCCGGCGTCTTCCCCAGCTCCCTTCCGCCCCTTGAAGGTCAGACTCACGTGGTCCTCTCGGGTCTTTAAAGCATGTTTGGCCGACACTGGTGTCATGTTCACTATCTTATTTCTCTTTGATGAAATGACTGGCTTATGGGCTCTTTAAAAACAATTGTTACCGCTCACACTTCAGAGGAACAGGTGATGCTGACAGGACAGGGGCCCAGAGGCATACATTACGGTGGCTCACGGGGGCCCCCATGTGGCTCAGGAGGGTTAGATGGTGTGTTCCAGCAAGCGTTCCACTGAGCATCCATATTTATTAGTAGTATAGGATATTTGTATCGATTTCAGAGAGGAAGGGAGAGGGGGAAAGAGAAGAGAACATCCATGATGAGAGAGAATCATGGATCGGCTGCCTCCTGCACGCCCCCCATTGGGGATCAGGTCCACCACCCGGGCATGTGCCCTGACCAGGAATCGAACCCTGACCTCCTGGTTCCTAGGTCAGAGCTAAACCCCTAAGCCAGCCCCTCCCCCTGGTCTGTACCCCCACACTGCATCCTAGATGCCCATCTCTGAGCTGACCTCCCAGTTCTCCCTCCCTCCCTGCTGACAGCTGGTGTGTCAGCGTTGAGGTGAGGAGGCTCACCATGTGCAGGGTTAAAGCTGACACGCGTGTCATAGGTTCGCCATCACTGGCGTAGTGTTTATTTTTTTAATTGTTGAGGTCAATTTTTCACTGTATTTTTCAGTGACAGTTGATGTACTCTATCATATTACTTTCAGGTGTACAGTACAGTGATTAGGCATTTATGTAATTTACAAAGTGACTCCACGCACACACACACACACACACACACACACACCATACATAGTTGTTATAATATTATTGACTGTGTTCTCCATGCTGTATTTTATTTTTTTCTTCTTTTTTAAACTTATTTTATTATCTGTTTGTTTTTCAACATTTTTTTTATCCTCACCCGAGGGTATTTTCCATTTATTTATTTATTTTTTAAAATGTATTTTACTGATGTTTTTACAGAGGAAGGGAGAGGGATAGAGAGTTAGAAACATCGACAAGAGAGAAACATCGATCAGCTGCCTCCTGCACACCCCCCACTGGGGATGAGCCCGCAACCACAGTTCATGCCCTTGAGCGGAATCGAACCTGGGACCCTTCAGTCTGCAGGTCGACGCTTTATCCACCAAGCCAAACCGGTCAGGGCCATCAGAATTGTTTCTCGCCTGTACCTCCTTTCACCCACACAGATGCGCCAGTCCCCCAGGGGCAGGGGCGGTCTCCGTACCTCTCTCTTTTCTCTGGGGTTCATGACATTACACTAGATTTCCAGATCACCAGCTAGTATTCCTCGTGTGTATATTCTCTCACCGGGACCAAGAGAAGGCAATCCTTCGATCCCAGGTCTGGTTGTGAGGGCTCCATGGCAAAGCACCACAGGTCGGGGGCACCTACACATCAGCCGTTTCTTCTCTCACGGTTCCGGTGGCCACAAGTTCAAGGTTAAGGTGTCCGCCGGGTTGGTTCTACCCTTCAGTCTGCAGGTCGACGCTTTATCCACCAAGCCAAACCGGTCAGGGCCATCAGAATTGTTTCTCGCCTGTACCTCCTTTCACCCACACAGATGCGCCAGTCCCCCAGGGGCAGGGACTGTCTCCGTACGTCTCTCTTTTCTCTGGGGTTGATGACATTACACTAGATTTCCAGATCACCAGCTAGTATTCGTGTGTATATTCTCTCACCGGGACCAAGAGAAGGCAATCCTTCGATCCCAGGTCCGGGTGTGAGGGCTCCATGGCAAAGCACCACAGGTCGGGGGCACCTACACATCAGCCGTTTCTTCTCTCACGGTTCCAGTGGCCACAAGTTCAAGGTTAAGGTGTCCGCCGGGTTGGTTCTCCTGGGGCCTCCTTGCTCAGCGTGCAGGCGGCCCCCCTCCTGCCGCCCCTGCTCCCTCGTTCCTGGTGCTGCTTCCTCCTCTTACGAGGACACTGGTCAGATTGCTTACGGCCCGACCACGTGACTCCGTTTCACTTTTCCTCACCTCTTCTAGGGCCCTACCTCCACAGGCAGTCACACTGGGGCGTCCTGGGGTTAGCACTTCCACCTTCGAATCTGGGGGACACCGCGTAGTCCATAGCAGCCCCGTCATGAGGGGCCAAGCAGACATGTGGTCTGTCCTTCCAGAGCGCGGTGACGTTTGGGGACGTGGACGTCGCTTTCTCCCAGGAGAGTGGGGCCGGGCTGAGCTGCGCCCAGAAGGCCCTGTACAGAGTCCCCCCTCCCCCGTCCACCGTGGGCCGCCCTCTCCAGCCCTCTCCTCTCAGACCCACAGCATGACCACCTCCCGTTTCTCTCTATTATTCAGGTCTCTGCCTCTCTAAGCCCGACGTGATCTCCTCCTTGGAACAGAGGACAGAGCCCTGCATGGCCAAGAACGGGCTGACAGGAGGCCGGTGCCCAGGTGAGCGTGGGAGACCCGGTGGGGGCCACTCACTGGAGGTCACAGGTCAGCCACCTCAGGCAGGCGGGGTCATCAGGAGGCTCCTGAGCTCGGGGCCTGGAGGGCAAGGAAGTCCCCCTGGAATGGACGCCCCGCGCTTTCATCTGCCCTCTCTGCTCTCCAGCTTCGCCCCCGTCCATCTAACATACCCACACTCCGCTGTTCCGGGCGTCTTCCCCAGCTCCCTCCCGCCCCTTGAAGGTCAGACTCACGTGGTCCTCTGGTCTTTAAAGCATGTTTGGCCGACACTGGTGTCATTTTCACTATCTTATTCATCTTTGATGAAATGTCTGGTTCATGGGCTTTTTAAAAAACAATTGTTACCGCTCACACTTCAGAGGAACAGGAGATGCTGACAGGACAGGGGCCCAGAGGCATACGTTCCGGTGGCTCATGGGGGACCCCATGTGGCTCAGGAGGGTTAGATGGTGTGTTCCTGCAAGCGTTCCATTGAGCATCCATGTTTATTAATACTAACTTTATTAGTAATAAAGCAGGAGGCTAGTGAGCTGGAGAAGACATTTTTGCTGAATAAAATGGAGAAGGAGTCACAGTGAGTGTTGCTGAGTAAACTCAAGTAAGGATTAGACGGCATTTCCTCCTGTGGCCTCCCTCCCCCTGGTCTGTACCCCCACACTGCATCCTAGAGGCCCATCTCTGAGCTGACCTCCCAGTTCTCCCTCCCTTTCCCTGGTCTGTACCCCCACACTGCATCCTAGATGCCAGGCTGTGAGCTCTCTCCTCTGACCTCCCAATTCTCCCTCCCTCCCTGCTGACAGCTGGTGTGTCAGCATTGAGGTGAGGAGGCTCACCGTGTGCAGAGTTGAAACTACAGAAGCGGGGGAACCTCAGTGAGGTTGGTTCATCAGGGAACAGCTCTCACAGTGATGCGCTCCTGTGAGGATTGATTCCTCTGATTGCCTGTGGGGTGTTCTTCACCCTGACCCCCGTGCAAGTGCCGCTTCCTGTCGTGCTGTCTTTCAGGCGGGAAGGCTGTGCCCGCGGAGGAGGGGCCGTGTGAGGAGCAGCGGTCCAGACCAGCGCTGCTGCACAGACGGGCCAGCTGCCGCCTGCAGGGCTCCGGGCGGGGGCAGCGCTGGGATGGCGAGGCTCTGCTCCAGAGGCAGCCGGTAAGTGAGGCCTCTCGCGTGGGGGCAGAGGGCGTGTTGGTGGGCAGCCGGCAGGAGGTGGCGTTGAGGGAGGCAGAGCAGAGGGCTCCCAGGCACAGCCTCCTGTTTCAGCAGCGCAGGCAGGCAGTCCTCGGACCCAGAGAGACCAGCATGGGAGGAAGGAGGCCGTGCCCGCAGTGAGTGTGGGACACGCTCTCCTTTGCTGTTTTGGTTAATCCTCGTCCCAGGATGTTTTCCCATTGGTGTTTAGGGAGAGTAGAAGAGAGGGCAAGACAGAAACAGCGACAGGAGAGAGACACATCGATGGGTTGGTTGCCTCCTGCACTCACCCCGACTAGGGCCCTGCAACCAAGGTACGTGCCCTTGACCGGAATCGAACCCGGGACCGTTCAGTCCGCAGGCTGACACTCTACCCACTGAACCACACCGGCCAGGGGAGAAGCTCTCCTCAGAATGCAGAGCTGCCTGCAGACAGGCTCCGCCCAGAAGGAGTGAGCAGGTGTGATGCTCAGAAAACGGGAACTTCAGTGCGATGAGTCACAAACACGTCTGCTTAAGTCAGGACACGTGCAGCCTGTGCTGCTGGGAGGGACCCTGCAACAGGCTCTCCCCTTCCTCTCAGCTGAGAGGAAGCCCCCCGAGTCACCCAATACCCGAGCTGGGGGGACAGCCTTCAGTCGCAGGAGAAAGTCCATGCTGTGGGCACTCATCCTCCTCCACAGAATCACACCTTTCCCACCGCAGAGCAGGGCCTCCTGTTTTCTCCCTCCTGCCAAACACACGTGCTGTCACTCGGTCCAGCCCCCCGACCTGCGTCACTCGGGAGCTAAGCGAGGCTTCCTGGACAGACGTCTCTCCCAGCGTGTGGGCCCGGCGCCTCGCCAGGCCGCTGCGGGTCACAGGGATGTCTGGGTCACGGCCCGTCTGTGCCGTTTCAGGGCTTGGCGACCAGCACGCGGGTGGCCAGCGACTCCTCCCAGCAGCCCGGCCCGGCTCAGGGGAGTTTCCCTAAGGATGTGACGTGGGGGAGCCCGGACCTGGAGGCAGGTGAGGTGTCCCCTTCCAGCCTGATGTCCCCCCCTCGGTGCTGAGGTGTGTGCGCGTGGTGGGCACCCTGCGGTGTCGGGCTGAACCGTTGCTGTCGGTTTCTGAGGAGCGTTTGCTGCTGGTGGAGCGGAAAGCTGGTGTCGTCGTCGTGCGTGAAGTGCTCTGTGCTGTCAGGGCCTCCTCACTCTTCTTCCTGCTCCTCCTGTGCTGACACTTTCCTCTTGGAGCCGAGGGGCTGGCTCTGCAGAGGCCACGAGCGTGACGGACACGTGTCCTTGTCCACGCAGGGCGCTGTGTGTCCCGGCCGCAGTGGCCTTCTCGGCTGCATCGCGGGAGGGAGCCCTGGCTGGTGAAGAGAGAGCTGGCGGGAGGCCTCTTCTCAGGTGAGCGCGGGAGGTGGGCGCGGAGGCAGAGCCGCCCCCGAGGCCGCGTCCTTGTTAAGGCACAGGGGTCAACGCTACCCAGGCCTGTTGGGCTGGAGGGAAAATTGAGGCCTGCCTCTTCAAAGTTCTCCTCCTCCTCCTCCTCCTCCTTTTCCTCCTGGGTGGTGACTGTGTCGGTAGCCCTCCTCCTGTTTCTGGCCACTCGGACGTGCGTCAGCCACTCTGTTCCTCAAGTGACCTTTCCTGGCCCCGTGGGCTTTTGCGCTGCCTTCCAAAGGTTTCCTCCTCCTCAGTCAGAGGCCCAATCACTTCATGTGCGTCCATTCCTCTGAGAACCACCAATCGACAGTTCATTGAGGGGCCACTCGGCTTGGCATTGGCAGGTGTTGGAGAGAGACGGAGTTTGCGAATACGTTACTCAGACCGTTACTCTAATAACGGGAGGATAAGACATATTCATGGGTAACTGGCATGAGGTAGAAATTGCAGAATTTCCCATAAGGCATTGCAGGGGCAAAGGAGAGGATCCCGGTAGCGTTCTTGTAATTGGACAGGGTGGGCGGAAGTCGGATGGCAAGAAGGCGTCAGTGGTGGGGGGTCTCTTCCTTGTTTGCTATACTAGGGAAGGCAAAGAAATTTCTTTGACAAATAACGGTTTATAGAAAGTATAATCCTATCACCTGTCTGGATGACCCTGTAAACACAATATGTTATCAAAGCAACTTTGACCCCTTTCAAGTCATGATAAACACGTATTTTGAACATAGTGGGGATTGCAGTGTATGCTCAGTCGTGCACACAGATACTTTCACACGCCCTCCATGTTGCACATCTCCGGTTAGGTTACTTCACATCTATTGTTATGGAAAATGTGCGCACAATAGGCATCCTGTGGAAGGGGAAACCAGGTGCTTTGGGGATCCCTGTGTTCCTGGACCTGGACCTCTGCTAGGCTCTGAGAGCTGCTTTGCTTTCAGCAACTCTAGCGATGACCAGGAGTGTGGGTTTCATTGTGTCCTCAGCACATCGGGTATTTTGATGAAAATGCTTACTAATAATTCGAAGAAAGATTATGGCCTCAAGTTACTTTTTTATTATGAAAACGTTTGAATACTTTCCCTGAATTTGGTTATTCTCTTTATCCTTTTATAAAATGTTTCTCATTTACACCCACTTATCTATTCATGTCTTTTATAGTCTCAGGGACTTTTCTGTAAAGCATACTAGTTTTTGATGTTCTGTCTCAAACTATTTTCATATTCTATATAATAAAATCCCGCAAACGGCAGAACGACCAGAATGACTGGTTGACCAGTTGCTATGACGTGCACTGACCACCAGGGTGCAGACCCTCAGCACAGGAGCTGCCCCCTGGTGGTCAGTGTGCTCCCACAGTGGGAGCACCGCTTGGCTGACCGGGATGAGTAGCGCTCCCACAGTGGGCTGATTTCCGCAGGCCACGCCCCCCACCAATGCACGAATCCTGTGCACCGGGCCTCTAGTATGGTAATAAGAGTTTTTGTTTTAAGTAGACCTTTTAAAAATGTAAAACTTCAGAAATTTTTACATAGTCTCATGTATTCTTTTATAATTTCTCCTTCTGTTTATGTCCTTAGAAACTTGATACATGTAGTTCTTTTTTTCTTTAATGGCTATCTAGTATTACAGTATATAGATACAGTTCACTTACCTGACTTACTATTGAGGACATTTGAACATTTAGGTCTTTTCCAGTTTTTAAAAAGTGGTCCCGTTTGCACAGATCTCTTTGCATGATAAAGTACACATGTTTTTAAAGTTTCACGGATATAGTGCTAAACCATTGGTGACAAACATCTCCCCAATAGTATTTGGTTGTTGGTGTGTTTTGTTTTCTTCCATTTTTGCCAAGCAGTTGAATGAAAATTGAGTTTTATTTAATATTTATTTCCCAGAAGCTTGTGATGTTGAGAATGTATGCATTTAAATCCATTTGGAGTTCAGATTCTGTTAATGGTGTCTTTATACTCATTACCCACGTTCTATTGGACCCTAATTCCTTGCCTTTATATAGTATGAATATAAGTCCTGTTTGGTGAATGTGATACATTTTTTTTCTTAGTTTTGTGTGGTCTCTAAGTTTGCATGATGTTTCTTGCTGTACAGTAGTTTAAATTGGGTGGTATCTTCATTAATAGAAGCATTTACTCTGTTGACCACTTTTACTCTTAGTTTTTCTTTTTATTAATAGATATATTAAATAATATACTTGGTTTCCTTTTTCTTTCTTTTTTTCCCTTTTTTCCCATTTGGTCTCCTTTCTGTTGCTTACTTAATTCTTTCTTGCTCTCTTCCTATCCATGACAAATTGTTGAGTCTTCCTATCCATGAACACAGGATGTCTTTCCATTTATTTAACTCTTCTTAATTTTATTGAGCAATGTTTTGTAGTTTTCAGCATTAGTCTTGCACCTCCTTGGGTAAATTTATTCCTAACTAATTTCTTCTTTTAATGCTATTTTTAAAAATATATATTTTATTGATTTTTTTATAGAGAGGAAGGGAGAGGGATAGAGAGTTAGAAACATTGATGAGAGAGAAACATCGATCAGCTGCCTCCTGCACACCCCCTATTGGGGATGTGTCCGCAACCAAGGTACATGCCTTTGACCGGAATCGAACCTGGGACCTTTCAGTCTGCAGGTCGACGCTCCATCCACTGAGCCAAATTGGTTAGGGCTTAATGCTATTTTTTATGGAATTGTTTTCATAATTTCCTTTTCATAGTGTTCATTCTGAGTGTATACAAATGTAGTGATTTTTGTGTGTTGCTCTTGTAACCTGCAATTTTGATTAATTAGCTCATTAACTCTGACACTTTGCTTGTGAATTCTTTAGGGTTTTCTGTATATGAAATCATATCATCTGCAAATTTGGATGCCTTTTATTTCTATATCTAATTGTTCTGGCTAGAACTTCCAGACCAGTGTTGAATAGAAGTAGTGAAAAAGGCATCCTTATTTGGTTTGATCTAAGAAGGAAAGCTTTCGGTGTTTTTTTATTTAAAAAAAGAATATTTCCTTTTCCCTATCTTACCATCATCTTTTTTCAGACATTTGTCTCTCTGCATCATCTCCCAATACCAATTTCATCTATGTATATTTATTAAGATACAACTACATATGCACAATTTTGGGTATATGCTAACTGATTTAGCAAAAGGATTTCAGATATATACATTCCTTCCTATAACCTGAAAGTGTGGAATAAAACATATATTTTTTCAGTAGTACATCTGAGCATAATTAATTATAATATTAAGACTCACCATTATTATAAAAACAATCTCCTCAAAATGAGAAATAAAATTGCAAGACCCTATCCTTATTAAATGGCCAGGAAAGAAGCAAAGATTTTATCAGGCTCATGGGAAGTAAACAAATAGGTACACAAATGTAAAAATGATTCAATGGGACTACTGAGCTTTGGCCATCAACTGGTAATGTTGCTTTTGTTGAAATTACCCAAATAAAATATGGTTTACAGAAGCATCATTTCCTGGTCGTAGGGCAGTAATCAGGCTTTCAGATACTCTTAATGCACGTTACAGAGTGCAGTCTCTTTTTGTGCGTTTGGCCTGTTTCTTAGAACTTTTGTGATGTGATGACTATCGTGGAATCCAAAGCCAGATAGAGAGTGAAATAATTGAAGTCAGCGAATGTCATAGGGTATATTTTTAGGTGGTGTGATTGCAGAACTTTTTTTTTGTGAATGTAACTCACTTTTTTGATATGTAACCAGTCCACATATATATTTTCTTCTTATGTCTCCTGAGGTTCCTATATGGAATCAATCTGGGGTCTCTCATATACATTGTAGGCTGCATGTTTAAATGCAATAGCTTTTACAAATGCATTGTTTATGTGGTTGAATTCACCATTTAGTGAACCCATTTACAGTTTTCTTTTTAGCATATTTTTTTTCTAGTCCATGATAAAGGAAATATTTGTTTTCTTGATATGTTTCAGGCCAACAATCTGTACATGAGACCCAGGAATTATTTCCAAAGCAGGATTTATTTGCTGATGTGCTAACAGACAGAACTTTAAGCACTAATCTGGAATGTTCAACTTTCAGAGAAAATTGGGATTCTGAGGGTGTGTTTGAAAGGAAGCTGGTAGGCCGGGAGACACAATTCAGGCAAGAAACAGTCACTAATAGCAAAACCCTCTCTAAAGAAAGAGAGCGTACGTATAACAAATCTGAAAGATGGTTCCCTTTGGACGTGTCAGAAGAGAGAGTTCATAACCATGATTCAGTTAAGAAAAGTTTCCCCCAAAATACAGTGGTGATAAAACATACAGGAATCTGCACAGGAAAAAAACTTTTCAAATGTAATGAATGTAAGAAAACTTTTACCCAGAGCTCATCTCTTACTGTTCATCAGAGAATTCACACCGGAGAGAAACCCTATAAATGTAACGAGTGTGGAAAGGCCTTTAGCGATGGCTCATCCTTTGCCCGACATCAAAGATGTCACACTGGCAAGAAGCCCTACGAATGCATTGACTGTGGGAAAGCCTTCATACAGAACACATCCCTTATTCGTCACTGGAGATACTATCACACTGGGGAGAAACCCTTTGAATGCATCAACTGTGGGAAAGCCTTCAGTGACCACATAGGACTTAATCAACACAGGAGAATTCATACTGGAGAGAAACCCTACAAATGTGATGTGTGCGACAAGTCCTTCAGGTATGGCTCATCCCTTACTGTTCATCAAAGGATTCATACTGGAGAGAAACCATATGAATGTGATGTTTGTCGAAAAGCCTTCAGCCATCATGCATCCCTCACTCAACATCAAAGAGTGCATTCTGGAGAGAAACCTTTTAAGTGCAAAGAATGTGGGAAAGCTTTTAGGCAAAATATACACCTTGCTAGTCACTTGAGAATTCACACTGGAGAGAAGCCCTTTGAGTGTGGGGAATGTGGCAAATCCTTCAGCATCAGTTCACAGCTCGCCACACACCAGAGAATTCACACTGGAGAGAAGCCCTATGGGTGTAAAGTTTGCAGTAAAGCCTTCACCCAGAAGGCTCACCTCGCACAGCATCAGAAAACTCATACGGGAGAGAAGCCATATGAGTGCAAGGAATGTGGGAAAGCCTTCAGCCAGACCACACACCTCATTCAGCATCAGAGAGTTCATACCGGAGAGAAGCCCTATAAATGTGTCGAGTGCGGGAAGGCCTTTGGTGATAACTCATCCTGTACTCAACATCAGAGGCTTCACACGGGCCAGCGGCCTTATGAATGCATTGAGTGTGGAAAGGCATTTAAGACAAAGTCATCCCTGATTTGTCATCGCAGAAGTCACACCGGAGAGAGACCATATGAGTGCACTGCCTGTGGCAAAGCCTTTAGCCATCGCCAGTCCCTTAGCGTGCATCAGCGGATTCATTCCGGAAAGAAGCCGTATGAATGCAAGGAGTGTAGGAAAACCTTTATCCAGATTGGACACCTCAATCAACACAAGCGAGTCCACACGGGCGAGCGGGCCTATAACTACAAGAAAAGCAGGAAAGTCTTCAGGCAGAGCACACACTTCGCTCATCAGCGAGTTCATGCCGGAGAGTCATCCGCACGCCCCTCCTTACCTTCCACGTCAAATCCTGTGGATCTTTTCCCCAGATATCTCTGGAACCCATCCTCGCTCCCATCACCATAATCTCAGTATTGTTCTTCCAGCTAGGCTACTCCAGTAGTGTATAGACTGGTCTCTGCTCTTTTGTTTTTGTCCTCAACAAGGTTGTTTTTCACGTGGCAGTCAGGGTGATGTGGGTGTGAATGTAACTCGCTCACTTCTGATGTAAAAACTTGCATTGAGGTCCTCTAAACTGGTTACTGCCTAAGACGCTCCTAGAACAGTGCCTCGTCCACACGAAGTGTGAGTGACTTTAGCTCCTTTAAAACATTATTTTGGGACATTGAAGCATTGCCATAGTTAGCTCTGAATAAAAATGGTGCATAACACAAGACCAGGCTGAACAAGGTTTTAGATTGGGAAGATGAGTTTGGGGAAGTCCATGAAGCTTTGCCTATGTCGCTTTAAAACTTGATTCCATTTTGCTGAGTTCGTGTTGTGGGTTTCCACCTTATCTGCATAAATGTAAGGTGCACTTGGTGAGAAAATTTAGCTTTACATCTGACAACAGTCTTAGGACGTGTGCAGGGAATATGGATGAGTAGGCCACCTGGAACAATCAGAAAACGCAAGCTTTATATGAATAAAGTTAAAACTACAGACATGTTACTCGAGAATTAGAAAATTTGGCAAGATTTGATCTATTGAAAGTCACCTGGACTCATGAATGAGTTCTCTTAAACTTTCAAGGAAAAAAAAACCTGAGGTATACTTATCAAGAGTAGGGGTCAGCAGCCCTCGCTGATTTGGCTCATTGGAAAAAGTGTCAGCCTGAGGATTGAAGGGTCCCGGGTTTGATTCTGGTCAAGGGCCCGTACCTCAGTTGCAGACTCGATCTCTGCACCTGGTCAGGTCTCATGCGGGAGGCAACCTATCAATGTGTCTCTCTCACATCATTGTTTCTCCCCCTCCCTTCCACTTTCTAAAAACCAAAGGGAAAATATCCTCAGGTGAGGATCAACAACAAAAAAGAGTAGGGGTGAGCAAACTGACTCATGGCCAAAGTCTCACTGGCTGTTTTTGAATGGCCTATGACCTAAATTTTTAAAATATGTTTAAATGGTTGGACAAGTTAAGAGAATAATACTTTATGACAACATGACTATTATATGAAATTTACATTTCAGTGTCTGTAAATAAAGTTTTATTGGCTCACAGCCACACATTTTTATTTTTTTACATATTGCCTTTGGCTGCTTTCATTCTACAAGGTCAGAGTTGAGTACCTGCAACATACAAAGTACAGCCTGCACAACCTCAAATATTTACTATCCTTTTACAGAAAAAGTTTTCCCACCCCTGCTCTAGCACAGAGAAGTAATATACAAAAGGTTTTAATTATTTCTTCAAGGAAAATACAACTTTTACATCAACATGAAAACTGTCAAGCGACTTCAAATAGAGGTGATGGGAAACTATTAAACCATATTGAACAATATAAAATGTGAATAAAAAGAAATATATTTTTCTAGATGAAACACTGGATACTATTAAAATATTTGTAAAGTGTTTTTCCCAACAGAGTCCCAGTAGGATATGTTTATTTTGACAGTTTTTTTAAAAACCACACGAGGAAAGATAATTTGTCAAGTATAGCCAGACATTTTAACAATATGTTTCTTTGCATTTGAAATTTTATAAAAAGACTGGTTTTTAATTTTGGGGAAATGATGTTTGACAGTCCGTTGTCTACTCTCCAAAAAAACCCAAAAACCCCCCAGCAAATTTACACCTTCCAGGGGAATGTAATACAATTGTATATAATACAGTTGGATTTATTTAGCAGAACATGGAGTCCTAGAACACATTGGTAGAGAGTCAAGTTGGCCCAAATAAAGATGTAAAACTTCAGCATTGAGAAAGGCACCAAAAAGGTATAAAAGACAATTGATAGAAAATATATACAACTTATATGGGAAAACCAACAACAAATTATGTCATTTAGGAATAAAGTGCTATTACACATACAAAGCAATGGGAAGAAGTTGACAGTGTGTACCAACAGGCCTATCACAGTTGAAGAATTCACATGAACAAAGAAAATTTGTGAAGTTCTTAGCCATTACAAATGAAAACAAATTGGCCTCTCGGATGGGTCAAAATCTAGGATTTGGATACCATCCAGCGCTGGTATCAGTGGGGAGAACAGGCACTTGTTCATCATTAGCTGTGTAAATGAGTCTCATATCTTTTTGGAAAATAACACAAGACTTATCAACATGAATGTGCATTTCTCTTGAAACCGTCATTCTAGATCTGTTAATGTTATCCTTTTGGAATAAATAGGGAGATGTAAATAATATTTATGGCAGATTATTTTAATTATGACAAAAAGGATTTCAGTGTCCCGCCAAGCAGATTAAATTGTAATTATTCAATCCTGTATTGTCCAGTCAGTATTAAAAGGTTAAGCTCTAGCCCTAACCGGTTTGGCTCAGTGGATAGAGCGTCAGCCTGTGGACTCAAGGGTCCCAGGTTCGATTCCAGTCAAGGGCATGTACCTTGGTTGCAGGCAAATCCCCAGTAGGGAGTGTGTAGGAGGCAGCTGATAGATGTTTCTCTCTCAATGTTTCTAACTTTCTATCCCTCTCCCTTCCTCTCTGTAAAAAATCAATAAAGTAAAAAATAAAAAAAATCAATAAAATAAAATAAAAGGTTAAGCTCTATGTGTGTTTCTATGGAGAGTTTTCTGTCCACAATCTATTAAATAAAATTTGTGGTTTGCAGAACCTTATGTGTAAAGTGATCTTGTAGTCATAGAGTCAATATTAAATTGCATATATATATATACATATATATATATGTGTGTATATATGTATATCTTTGCATGTACATATATCTGCATGTTTGTGTATATATTTTTCACTATATATGTTGAAACCTGTTTTTGTCTTTATCACACACATTTTTTCTAGCTCTTTGTTGGCACTCCCACATTTTTCATTCTGCATTCTGGTGAACTGCCAGTCACATGCTTTCAGTTAAGCCAATCGGATTTGTCATCCTCTGGGTGTGATTGGAGACACCAGGACAGGAGCGGGGTCAATATCCAGCTTTCCGTGTGGCCCGAGTGTGTGTTTTCTTTCGGTCAGTACTTATGTTGATTGGGGTCCTTATGGTACCCACTGTGAACTACGTGGAATATCCCTCCTGGACTGGAAGTAGTTGTAATCGAGTCATCCTTTGGCAACAGCCTGAAGCTTTCTGCCTCTCTACCTCTCACTCTGATCCATTAAAATGACTTCTTCCTCACATCCTAGTTTCGTTCTGTTCTTTAAATCTGCAAGGCACCTGGCATTCTTCCAACGTTTAACTTCCAGTTCTAAGTGAGAGTTATCATCTTTCGACCAAAGAAAGCTAGCTTGTATAGGGATTGGTACTACAGAATGATCAGACTATAGAGAAGCAGGATGTAGTCATCAAAAGTGTTCACTGTTGCCCTGACCGGTTTGGCTCAGTGGATAGAGCGTTGGCCTGCAGACTCAAGGATCCCAGGTTTGATTTCAATCAAGGGCATGTACCTTGGTTGCGGGACTGTAATAATCTGAACAATAAAGATTTAATTTTAAAAAAACTTGCTGGCGGTCACATAGCTAAAAAAAAGAAAAGAAAAAAGAAAACCAACAAGCATACTTAAACTCAGTAGCAAAGTACAATAATAATAGAGTAAAGACACTACATGATCAAAGTAAAAAAAAGGTTAGGAAGTAGTATACTTGGTGAGTATTTATTTGGGTTGCATTGAAAACTTTAAGTACTTAAAGAACATATGAATCACCTTTTAGAATTAAATGGTTCTATCTCTCCCCCCCCTTATATATTTAAATGCCATTTAACAAAAAAAAAAAAACCAAAAAAATGAGTTCGCGTGTCAGAGGTGTCAGGTTCGCCATCATTGCTGTAGGATAATCATCTTCCAAGCTCATTTAAACTGTTGGCCGGCCTGGAGTCCGCTCTGACTTGGCTGGACACATCAATTTCTCCCCACGTGGGCAGCTCACAGCAAGGCAGCTGGTTTCCTAGAAAGTGAGCAGGCAAGGGAAGGTACCCAAGATAGACACCAGAGTCTTTTTGTAAACTAACATTACAACTGACGTTCCTGGGTTAGAATTGAGTTAATTAGAAGTGGGTCTCACACACACACATACAAAGTGGGTCACCAGACCCAGCTCACTTCCAATGGGAGAGGATTATGAAAGACTAGAGGCCCGGTGCATGAAATTCATGCACAGGTAGGGTCCCTAGGCCTGGCTGGCGATAAGGGCTGATCTTTGGGGTGACTGGCAGGGCGATCAGGGGCCCCCACTGGCACCCACCTTGGCTGGCCTGGGGCCTGTGGGCTGGGGGCAGCTCCTGCATTGAGCGTCTGCTTACTGGTGGTCAGTGCACGTCATAGCAAACGGTTGAGCGGCCTTAGCATGTCATTAGCATATTACATCTTGATTGGTTGAATGAACAACTGGAAGACCAGACACTTAGCATATTAGGCTTTTATTATATAGGATTAATCATAATTATTTTAAATTGCTGGTATGAAAATTCCAAAATCTCTGTCATAACTGAACCTAGTTCTGATGCTTGCTTTGTCTCTTCATACTGTGTTTTTTCTTGTGCATGCCTTGTAATTTTTGGTTGATAGCTGGCCATAACGTGCCAGGTAATAGGAACTAAGGTAATCAGAATTTTAGCGTGAAGTTTTATGTTAACCTGGCTGGGAGCTGGGCTCTCTTTAATGCTTGATGTACCTGTAAGTGCCACATACTTTTGATTTCTTCCGTTTCCTTGTTTTGTTTTTCTTCCCCTGCTGTATTTGAACTTCCCTAGGAACGTCTTAAATAGAATCCGCGTCCGTCTGTGTCTTGCTGCTTGTTGTAATTGCTAAGATTGACTGAAGCCCTGTTGGTGTGATAGTAAAGTATGGGGAAAGGGAAGCATTCTGTATCCTATGATTAACTCTCAGTTAAGGAGCACACTGCGGGGAGAGTGGAGGGAGATAGTGTGCGTAGGGTGGAGACAGATCTAATGGGCCTTGTGTATAGGTTATTATAAAGACTTGGACTTTTGCTCTGAGATGTGAAGCCTCTAGAGCAGTGGTTCTCAACCTTCTGGCCCTTTAAATACAGTTCCTCATGTTGTGACCCAACCATAAAATTATTTTCGTTGCTACTTCATAACTGTAATGTTGCTGCTGTTATGAATCGTAATGTAAATATCTGATATGCAGGATGTATTTTCATTGTTCGCGACCCACAGGTTGAGAACCGCTGCTAGTGTGTCGTTTTCCTTGGCGTGCAGGGCTTTTGTTATGGAGAATGCTCTGAGCTATGTCAGAGGGCTTACTTTTCCCACCCTCTGCCCAAAGCAACAAGGTTCTCCCAACCCAGCTACCCTGATTTTTAGCTGCTGTTATGAATCGTCATGTAAATATCTGATATGCAGGATGTATTTTCATTGTTCGCGACCCACAGGTTGAGAACCGCTGCCAGTGTGTCGTTTTCCTTGGCGTGCAGGGCTTTTCTTATGGAGAATGCTCTGAGCTTTGTCAAAGGTTTTACTTTTCCCACCCTCTGCCCAAAGCAACAAGGTTCTCCCAACCCAGCTACCCTGATTTTTAGCTAGAGAACTTGGTGGAGTTCCTGGAGGTAAAATCCATGCATCTTAGGGGACACCTGACGATATGCCAGACGCTTTTACAGTTGGCGGGAAGAGGGCCCTAAACAAGATCGAGAAGCTGTGGGCCGGCCAGGGGGTGACGAAATGGGCACAGGGGTAGAGATCAGCAGCCAGGGAGACTGAGTGACAGGTGACCTACCCACACTCCCAGAGTCACAAATCGCAGTGCACAGAGCAGCAGGCGAAATCTAAGCCCTCCTGTCCTGCAGGCGCCATCCATCCCCTGGACCCGCCTTTCTGAGCCCCGCACGGCCCATCCATGCATCTTAGGGGACACCCTAAGCACCCTGTACCCCACTCGCCCGCCCCA